TGTAGCTTTCTTACAGACCTAGGACAAAACATGCGCATGTTTTTTAACGGCTAGGTCGCCCAATGGTGATTTCCAGCGGGATGCAGTCAATGAAAACAATGCATCAGGTTTATCAGATTGTGAAGCCCATCAATCCAAACTTCTGCTTCCTGCAATGCACCAGTGCCTACCCACTACAGCCAGAGGATGTCAATCTCCGTGTCATATCGGTCAGTGAATAACCCAGAGTATGCCATGGGCTGGGTACCAGAGAAAGGCTATGCGCTTTTATTGAGATATATTTCCAGGTCTTAGGCATGCTGGAATTTGCTTTGGAGGAGTCAGAAGATGTATCATGTTCCTTTAATTCCTGCAAGTGTTGAAGTAAAAATACCCCTCGGATCCTTTTTTAGCAGAACTCAGCTTTGAGGAATATAATAAAAGATACTACTGGAGTATTCACAGTTAAACAGAGGAAAATATGACATATGGTTAACATGTTAACCCTGTGCTTTGTAGTGCAGAGAAAAATGATGTAGACTGTTATCATTAAGAAGGTGCATGGAATTGAGAACATAATTCTAAATAGGGAGCTAGACCAGAAACTTTTGTTAAAATCACTTAATGTGAATATCAGGGCAATGGAGAAAACAGATTATGCGCTTGTATAGTTTTCCTCACTGAAAATATTACTTGGATGTACTTGATAATGATGCAAGAAAATTTTCCCAAATTGGACAGTGTTCAAGCACTTGTCTAGCTTTATGCACCCCTAATATATTACTTGTAGTAGAATGGGACATGGCTGCATTTAATTAACTTTAGGATTGTGTGATTGTGCCCTATGTATGGCCAAAAGGATTACTTCGGATTTTAAATATGGGGTTGAAGAAATCTGCTTTGGATACAGGTTAAGTTTAACCAGTTCACTGGGTTCCCAACTGCTTGTTTTGTGGCACAGGAATTGTACATGGATGTTATTGCACTTGTCACTGTTAAATTTGCTTTGTCTTTGAAATTGCTGCCTTGGTAACTGAGACAAACTCTGTTATGATTCAAGGCATATCAGTCAGCTTTTCCTGATATCCCCATTGGCTATTCGGGCCATGAAACTGGCATAGCCATTTCAGTAGCAGCAGTTGCTATGGGTGCTAAAGTAGTGGAACGCCATGTGACTCTGGACAAAACATGGAAAGGAAGTGATCATCAAGCATCCCTGGAGCCAAATGAACTGTCAGAGTTAGTGAAAGCCATCCGTACTGTGGAAAAAGCAATGGGTTCTCCAGTTAAACAGCTCTTGCCCTGTGAAATGGCTTGCAATGAAAAGGTAACCTTACTTTTGATTCACGTATAGCTGAAACTCATTTAGACCTATAGCTAATAACGCTATATTCAGAAAAATAGCTTGCCAGTTGTTTATTGCACCAGTGTTTCTGCCTTTGCACTCAAAAATTTCTGCTGCTATGTAGCAGCATGCACAGTATTTCTGCTTAGCATACTGTAATGTTAGAGGAGACCTGTCATTTCCTATAAACTGCTATTTCTGTGAGTCAGTAACTACTTTTACCAAAGCATAATGTTGGCAATTCTCAGTATAATGGAGTTCTATGTATATCATCCAGTGTTAACTAAGTTGAGCAGAATCATAGAATTATGTCACATCAGTACCTCCAGGGATAGTGACTTAACCACTTCCCTGGGCAGCCTATTCCAGTGCTTGATAACCTTTTTGGTGAAGAAATATTTCCTAATATCCAGTCTAAACCTCCTCTGGCACAACCTGAGGCCATTTCATCATTCTGTCGCTTGTTATTTGGGAGAAGAGACCGACACCCACCTTGCTACAACATTCTTTCAGGTAGTTGTAGAAAGTGATAAGGTCTGCCCTCAACCTCCTTTTCTCCAGGCTCAACAACCTCAGCTCCTTCAGCCAATCCTCATAAGACCTGTTCTCTGAGACTCTTTACTGGTTCTCAAGACTAGCTTTGTTGCCATTCTTTGGACCTGCTCCAGCAGCTCAATGTCTTTCCTGTAGTGAGGGGCCCAGAACTGAACACTGTATTGGAGGTGTGGCCTCAGCAGTGCCAGGAGTAATAGGTCTCTGTGACTGTATACAAGCTTCTTTTACACTAAGCTAGAATACTAGTCAGTATAATTAGATTCCCTCCATTCTGATTCTGAAAAATTCCAGTGACCCATTATCCAGTTTCAGAAAGGATCTGGATGTTACCAGCAGTCTAGTTACATAGAAGGTTTCCACACTAACTCAATCTTCATTTGGATTAAGAAGTAATAGGGAGGACAGTTCCACCTAACCTGTTCCCAAGTAACTGCTGAATATTTTTTATCCTTTTTGGTATACTAAGCCTAGGAATGTGTTTGACTTAAACCTTTTTTTTTTTTTAATTTCTCCCTTGTAGCTGGGGAAGTCTGTTGTGGCGAAAGTGACAATTCCTGAAGGTGCAGTACTGACACTTGACATGCTGGCAGTGAAGGTGGGAGAGCCTAAGGGATTTCCTCCAGAAGCCATCTTTGATCTGGTGGGCCAGAAAGTTAAAAAAAATATTGAAGAAGATGAAACAATCACTGAGGAAGCAGTGGAAAATCACGTAAAAAAAGTGAAGTGCTAAAGCAAAGCACTCCATTCCATATTTCATTATGTAGTACTGCACAACATATTTAAATATAGCACTATGGTAGATTAGAAGGGGTGTAATTATGAGGATCCAAGCAGGTTAGAATTTTCAGGTTCTCATTTGCAGAAAGTTTCTGTAGCAACCAAGTATAAATTATGAAGATCTATTTTATTAGGAACTGGATATCACTGTGTCTAGAAAAGACCATACTCTTCCTTTCTCCGTTCCACTTAACCTAGATTAATTTGGAGTTTTGCCAAATCTAAGACCACAGTCTGCTCTTTTCCAGCTTCCCTTTTCTGGTAAGAATACATTAAATCACAATAATTTTTTGTCTACACTTTGAATTGTTCTAACACCGTATATTTTGATGATCCTCTTTTCTGCCACTTACCTCACTCATGTTATAAGAGGATGCTAGTTGAAGCTGAATGCAGATAAGTGAAAGTTTACATACAATGAACAGAAAACTACACATGCAACCTGATGGATTTTTCTCAAGATCAAAGTCTTAAGATAGAAAGTCTCAAAGATAAAGCAGTAGGTTGCAGGAATCTGCACTATGAAGAAAATCAGCTCCTTGAGAAAGCTGGGTTCTCAAGAGACAGTACTGAGAAAGGAAGCAAACTAGGTACGTAGAAGGGTCCCATTTAAGGGGCAAGAGAAAGAAATTTGGTCTGAGATGGATCAGTGAAAATAACCTATGCTTCAAAAAAAAAAAGTGCAAAGCATCTGTTCCGGGCTTAGTGAAGCCTGGAATCAATTCTGCAGTGCATTTGAATACTTCTATTTGTACCTGGGGGCAACTTCTCAGATTGGAAGCCAAATGCTGGTGAAGATTCAGCAGCCTCTTTCCTGTACTAACAAATACAGTGGGTTGGGTTTTTTTCCCCTTACACTGGTGTTTGAGACAGCCAAGGTGGCTGCTTAACCAGATGACACCACTATGCTCCAGCATGATGGTCATTGCTTCTCTGGTGTGCTCTCCTCTTGCATCACAGCTTCTCACTTAAGAAATGGAACTCCTATGTGCCTGCTGCTCTTCCCTTTGTCCAGGAAGGAGCCATATGGCAGCACCTGCAAACCAGACATCTTTCACTTAGCTTGGTTGACAAAGAAATGCTTTGGTATAATTCATCTGCATTTTTCTGTGGTGGAATCATTTACTAGAGATGGTTATTTAGAACTTGCTACCTCTTGGTCATGAGTTGGTGAAGTATCTTGAATTTGGTGATGGTGTTTCTGTACTTGTAAGCTGTTTATTTTCAAAATGTTTACCCTTTGCAATTCTGAGGAAACTGTCCTTAAACTGGGAAGGAGATTAATTGAATCACGCACTTGACTGTATGTGAGCTCTGATTGATGCAATCTGCTTGCCTTACATTAAAAAACTACTCAATTGTTAAAAGATTTTAATTTTTTTTAAATTTCAAATTTGAAAAATAAATTTAGCTTATAAAACAAGATGTTGTTTTTGTGTTTCAGCCTATGGTCAGGCATTGCCTTTGCCAGCACCAGTGATGATTCCATGCTTTTAATATTTGAACCCCATAAGATTACCTGACCTGCTTCAAATAGCAGTTGTTCTTCACTCCAGCAGGGCTGGTCCTAGAGGCTGCTGTAAACATAGGTGCCAAAAATTTCTAGGACTTTAATTAATATATTGGAGGGGGAAAAAAAAATCCCTATACAGAAACTTGAAGCTGTCTCTCCTAGTTTTATGTGAGCATACCTTTATCCAGCTGCAGTTAAAGAGCCTCTGCAAACAAACACAAAAATAAATTAAGCAGACGTGCCCCCCTGACCTAGTGTTTTTATTGTACCTGTGGGTTCTCCAGACATTTCACTTCAATGGGGGGTGGTACACAACAGTTTCTTGTGCTTCTGCTCTGTGTGGGGAAAAATAGGGCCACCCAGAAGCCCAGTTCAGAATCTCTGTCACAAGTAGGATCAACTAATGGCTACTAAATGTGACTACTTCAGCTTTACCTGAAGGAACTTTTCCAACCGTTGCTGCCAGTCTTTGATTTTTCTGAGATGGTACATAAGTATGAACTCATTCACTTCGTCCATTTATTATCCAAATCTGACCCTGTCAGCTATAACACTATGCAATATATGAACCTGAAGCTGGAACCAAACTAGACCTATTACCATACATAATTGCAGCCTCTCCAGGCAGATGAGGGTTAATAAAAAAGATGGCAATATCTGGGTTCAAATCTGAGTTGTAATAGACTTCTTTCAACCAGACTTTCTCCATTTTGCAAGTTGAAAAAAAGTAAAATAAGTATTATGTATGGCAGTTTAGGTGGTACATCAACATCATTTATAAAATGCATATACATTAAAAATCAGTTGGTTTTCTTGAGCTTAACTGTTACCTTCTAAAAGCATCACAATTACAGCTTTCATATGAAAGAGATTAATTCGTGTAGATGATTGCTAAAGTGACTTTCATAGAAAAAGCATGAAATAGTAGGCTTTATTTTGCTTTGTTCCTTATGTTAATTTGCATATTCCAATAGACCCTTCCCAGAGCCTCAAGGCTGGGTAAACTGGTTCTGTGAACTTGCAGCGGAAGGTGTGCAAATGAGCCATGCCATCTGTAACATTGTAGAATGAAAGGATTCCTGCTTCATAATCCAGAAAAATGCCAATGCGATCAGGATCATCTTCTAGCAGGATGGGGATTCTTTCCCCCTTGTGGAATGCCCAGTATTCAAAATCAAACTTCTTAAGGCACCAAGATGCTCTATTCCAGCCTAGTCGACAGCTTTCAGAGTCTCCTTTCCTGCCAATGGAAGGATAGGCTGCGCCAATCCACCATCCCGCTCCAGCGTGAAGCAAGTCAACTTCCCAGTAATGGCTCCCAGAAAGGAATGCATCTCTGCTTAGTACTTGCCATAATTTATCAAATCGTTGGGGACCACAAGGGTAAAATATCCTCCTCCAATTACAGCTTACTACAAGACGGTCATCAGACAATTTCAGCCTTGGGTGAAGGCTGTCATATTCCCAGGTTGGTGATCTTGCATCTGCAGTCAAAACCATAAACAAAGTTACTACATTTATCATGACTCTTGAAAGAAGTCCCTGGTATAAAACACCTGCAAGAGCCCACAGCTGGCAGTGTCTTGGAACTGCTATTTTGCAAGGAAAACCCTGACATTTTTAATAGAAAGCACTGCCATATTTATATGCACTGATGTGTTAAAGTTGTACAGACTTTAAAGCAGGTCAGTATGCAATCATATATGCATGTTTCAGAAAAGGCAAGATGCATACAGCCAGGTAGGGAACAAACATTCTGCTTTACACAGAATAGTTGGAGACTTCTGGTGAGATTACAGCCTAAAGGTTTTAGAGAGTACTAAAGTGGACCCTTGGAGCAATGCATAAGCCACTCCATTCTCTATTGGTCCTCTGATACTCCCCCACAATTTCCTCCAATGAGCAGGGAAGGCTAAGAAAGGTCTCCCACAATTCATGTGAAAGAGCACATATATCTTGCATGGTGAGGGTCCATTTTCTGCGCAGTTAATTACAACCAAGACTTACCCTCTACACTTGTCTGTAATGTTTCAGAAAAGAAAGTAGTACACATGCATTATGACTATAAGATACAGGTGGACCTTACATCTCCTTGCCTTGCTGTGGCTGCTAACATCAGCTATGTTTAAAACACAGGCACCAGTGAGGCACCGCTGTTGGTTGTTTTATATACAGAGCCCTACTAACAGATTGTCTTCGTCTGGGTAGGATCACTGCACACACCTAGGTACCAGAAATGAAGCAGTTGCTTTGTTTGAGGCAAAGACATGTGGAGAGAGTTCCTGATGTGTGAAATGCATGTCATGGTGCTAGAGAGCCCTCTGCTGATATTCTGCCCCCTGCATTCTGTACCTGTAAACTGCTGAAAAATTAAGAAGCATATAGCACTGTACATGCAGTTAGTGTTAACTGAAGCATCATGATTTTCTAAACAAAAAAGCCTTTATGATTTTAATTTTGGTATTATGCCTGTAAACAACATTAAAACTTCCAAAAGCGTACCACTTCAGGCATACATCTCACACATGCAACATCTTAGATCTCCACTACACTTTAGTCAGAAAAGCTTGTATTGGCATTCGTGTGGTCTGAATAGGTCCTAAGTCACAACTGTGTGCATAGCTAGTGACAAAAGACAGGAATTATTCATGTAGGTAAAACAGCATGCTACAGGACTGTAGACTGTACCCTGTGAATGACTGACTTTTGTGAGTCTTTGTTTGAAGTCACTTCCAGCAGGTAAACAATGGGGATGCTAAGTTTGTACAGAATACAGATGACAGGGAGACCAAAAGACACTTGAAGTAGGGAGGATTTAAAAGGCCTGGATTCAGTGTGTGCTTTTTCCAGTAAGCACTTGAAAAGCTATGCAAATAAGAAGTGATGTCTGCCAGTCAAATTTACCTGAAAACACAGATTTTCATAAAATGCATAACTAATAAATCTCGGTAAATCTAAAGCAAATAGAAATACCTCAATGCTTTAAAAAAGAAACAAAAATGCAAGGACCAAACTGCATCCAGGTCCTAATGTTTGGAAGCATAAATGTGAATTTGACTAGAAAAATAATGCAAAATAGTGAAGTTGTTGAGATTTCTGGAGGACTGCAATTCTTCCACTTTTCCTAAGTGACAAAAATTTTAAGTGACTCTAAGTCCAAATATTTATGACCAAGGTTTGTCAATTTCACTGGCCTATGAGCAGCTACACATCCTTCGTAATGAAGTGGTTTGTCATATTTAGCTTTATGAGTTGAGAAATTGTCTTTTCAGCCCTTAAAGTGACTGCTCACATGTGAAGCAAATACAGTGCTTTCTCCATCAATCAAGCCTGAAGCAGATACAGATCAGCATTCATGAAACCCAGGAGCCTAGTTCACTGCCAGCCAAATGCTGCTGCAGTGCTCTCTTAGTAGTAGCAAGTGGTCAGTGACATGGGCGGGCTGTCCTGGCACCCTAACAGGTTCTGGTTACAATGTGACTGACTCAATCTGGATCCTGCAGCACGTAACACAAGTGGGAAAGACCCATGACACCTCAGTCAAGAAGACAGACTTTGCTCATTGCATTCCTGATTTCTTAACAGCTGCTGTAGTAACAAGCGCAACACCCATTTGCTCATAACCAGTTGAGATAACCTGTTTGGAATGAAAAAGTTGCACTGTTTAGACTTAGAAGCTCACTATTCCCTGCCCTCCCTACTGAATAACAGCCAGAAGTCAAGGGTCCACTTGGCCACAGTCATGGCCTCTACTCAGCTAAATCCAGGCCAGAAAGCAGACCTTCTCTTACAACAGGCCTGTGCCACCAGATACCATAGTAATAGGGACTGTTACAGCTTTGAGATTAAAAACAGCTACAGCCCTCATCTGCTGCAGGCCACATGAATGTCACAGAATCATAGAATGTATTAGGTTGGAAGGGACTTTCAAAGGTCACCTAGCCCTACCTCCCTAGGGTCATCTTTACCAGAGCAGGTTGCTCAGAGCCCCATCAAGCCTGACCCTGAATAACTCCAAGGATGGGGCCTCCACTACCTCTCTGGGCGACCTGCTCCAATGATCTACTACCCTCATATTGAAGAACTTTTTCCTAATATCCAACCTAAATCTACCCTTTTCTAGTTTAAAACCATTACCCCTCGTCCTATTGCTACATGCCTTTGTGAACAGTTCTTCCCCAGCTTTCTTATAGGCCCCTTTCAGGCACTGGAAGGTTGCTACAAGGTCTCCCCAGAGCCTTCTCCAGGTTGAACAACCCCAACTCTCTCAGCCTGTCCTCAGAGGAGAGGTGCTCCAGCCCTTTGCTCATTTTTGTGGCCCTCCTCTGGACACGCTCCAACTTCCAACTCCAACACGTCCTTCTTGTGTTGAGGGCTCCAAAAGTGGATGCAGTATTCCAGGTGAGATCTCACCAGAGCAGAATAGAGGGGCAGAATCACCTCTCTCGATCTGCTGACCACACTTCTTTTGGTGCAGCCCAGGATGCGGTTGGCCTTCTGGGCTCTAGATGCACATTGGTGGCTCATGTCCAGATTTTCATCCACTACTACCCCCAAGTCTTTTTCCTCAGGGCTGCTTTCCAGCACATCATCCCCTAGCCTGCATCAATAATGAGGATTGTCCCAACACAGGTGCAGGACCCTGCACTTGGCCTTGTTGCACCTCATGCAACCAGGAGGTTCACCTGGGCCCACTTCTCCAGC